TAATAGTTACCATAGAGATTCCAAATTTAGTAACTATTTAGTTATCTATGTTTTTGATCTATTTTTAATTCTTTTGGAAATTTCCTACCAAAGTAAACAATTTTCGAGTTTTTTAGATATTTTCTATAAATTCCGCAATTATATCTAAATAATAATAAATTTATGATCAGGTAGGTAGCTTATATACAGAAGCGGTTGGCTGGCGTGATATTCTGTACACCAAAAAGGTTAAATTTGTCAACCAAAAGGTGTCAAGCTCCTTATGGAACCGAATTGGCGCCAAGGGATCGAACTGCCCGTTCTCAGTAAAAACGAAGTTCGGGAAGCAGACCAACATTGCGGCTTTGTTTAAAAAGACAACAAAACTCTATGGCAAACTAGCTTCCTCTAAAGGAGCTAAGTCAAGAGATTTAATTGTAACAGCGCATAAATTCAAGCGTGCTTTACAAGGGTGTTTTGCATCAAGAGCCCAAGTTGCTCTTATTGATTACCTCTTCAATGATTCTGGCTACCAAAAGTCAGAGATTGATGCAATTTCACGTCTTCAATCGAGTATACTCAAGATTAAACCTCGTCGCAGAGCTACCTACCGCGTCCCAGTGGCTATGTTCGCTAAGTCAACTAGCCGGCCAGTATGCCAGATGGAAAACATATTGTGCTTTAATTCATACTGCTTAGATGTGTTCACCATGCATGATTCTGTAATCCCCGGCATGTGCGCTCTAGATATGATCACAGAGCACCCCAGCAAAATAGCTAAAGTGTTCAATTTAAACAAAGATATTCTGTTAACATCTGACAGAATGTTGCGCCCTAAGCTTGGATACTTGCAGAACAACAAGACTATGAACATTGTCCAGAGCAGCCTAATTACGTGGTTCACAGATGCAATGAAGGGAAGTCCTACTTATGTCAATGGTGGATCTTCTGGAGAAATTTATTTCTCCTCTCTCGGAGGCGTTTGGGAGAAGAATGATAAGATAGTTGAAGGGCTATCTAATCAATCCTTGACCTAAATACAAGTACAATACCACTGTGCCATCATCAGCACCTGTGGAACGTATATTTAGCCAGGCTGGAATGATTCTCACTCCTAAAAGAAATCGTTTAAGTGATGATTCATTTGAAACTTTACTTTTACTCAAAAAGAACAAACTCTTTTATTGATGTAAATAAATTACTGTAAATAATGAGTTGATTTCTGAGTTTAATAAATTTATAAATATTTCAAATTAACCATGGTATGTACTTAGGTACTTATGTACTCAGTACTTATACTTATCTAGCCTTAGCACTGCATTTGGTGGTATAGCCAACATGTTCAACAACTCCATAAAAGTAATGGAAGATGGTAGCATGGTGCACAACTCTACAATAATTGGAGACAAAACATTGTTTTCAGAATGTGTGTTAACCCTCTACCGCATACCGATGCCATTTGGCATCATTACTTTTATGCTTCCTTATAAACTTTACGATGCTAAAAGGCAGCAATATGCATATCTCTAGGATAATAGTTACCATAGAGATTCAAAATTTAGTAACTATTTAGTTATCTATGTTTTTGATCTATTTTTAATTCTTTTGGAAATTTCCTACCAAAGTAAACAATTTTCGAGTTTT